TAAGGCTAACCCTGCCAACTACTAACTTACTAGCTTGCTGAGCATCACCAGCAAGCATAATTCATGCCATTTGGAATGGAAATTGCAAGAATGGTTGGCAGAGATAACTATCTTCATTGCAAACAAGTGGCGTTTAGGCCCACACTGTCTAATCTAGATAATGCTCCTGTTTTATGTGGTCCAAATTTATGTAGTTTATGGAAAAACTACATAATTTATGTAGTTTATGGCGTCCTCGTGCATGCATGCGGCGCACGCATGCGTACTAGCGTCTGTGCGATGCTCCAGCTGCTCCTGGAGGATCGCGCAGGCGCTATATGTGTCCTGCGCATGCGTGGAAGCGCAGAACTCATCAAAACCGGGTAAGGGGCGCGGGCGGGCCAGTCGCCATTCCCGGAAATTACTTACTTCCGGGTTTGCCGACCAACCGGTTCGCAGGGACCGCCACGAACCAGTTGAAACCCACCCCTGATCAGGGAGTTAGCAAAAATGCCTTCTTTTTAAGATTCCTCTTAAACTATGCATATGCTTATTGGTAAGGAACTTTCAGACTCAAATATTCATCTGCCCACAATTGCAAATATGAGTCTTCTGCAGTTACTTTATGCAGAAAATGCAGCTATTATTTCTTTAACAACTTAATACACTGCTCTGGAGTGATAAATCAGTTAAAATACTGATTTTTGTTAAAACATTTAGGAACTTCTGAGAACAACTAGAGGATCAAGGGACTGAGCAGGTAAACACATATACTTACCTGTGATTTTTTTTAAAAAAAACTATGGTCATGAAGTGCACATATTGACTATGTGATCCTGCAGCCTCAAAAAAAAAAAATCTACCCCACTTCAGAAACACTTCTAAAATGGGTTTTCACATTAAAAATAGGGAATATATCCCTGCAACTTTAAAATTATTCACAAATAAATATCTGCCTTAGCTTTTTTTATGGTTCTGAGCTAGCTCCATATGCAAGTTACAGGTGCATAGAAATGGTCCCAAATATATATCCAACTTGATTTTGAGCTAAAATGTGTCCAGCTAAAAACTTGGCTGTTAATTATTGTCTTGAATGCCTCACTTTTCCCAGCTGCTTTGATTTCAATCCGTCACCTATTATCCTAATAATTCACATGTCAAGCTAAGCCATTATACAATTTGTTTTTGATGAAACATAGCCATTGTGAATGATAAATCATGGTTTACTTTTTCCTAAGCAAATCTAACTATTTTATCATTGTTAAGTATGATGTACAAATAATTATAACTGGTTATAAAACAAATATATATTACAGTGCATCTCCCTTATTACACTAGTTCTCTACATTTTCCATACTTAGAAGGAATTAGAATTCCTTGAGAATATAATTGTCCTGTATTCCAAGGGTATAAAAATGTATATTTTAAACAGGGGGAAACTATTTTTCTTCAGATAATTGTTTATGATAGAGCAAGAGTATACACAGGTGATAAAAATTCCAATTCATTTTCTATTAAGTTATTAATCTGTATCCAAGATTATTCAGCTTCTATTTGAATAAATAAATCTATCTATCCTTTTACATAGGCCACGGAGTACTGTATATAAGATTCTCTCTACAGAACATTGACTGAAATAAGCATTAATCTCTCATTGCAATATTACAGCCCAGAGTCTATTGGAGTGAACAGCTGTGGAAGGAAAGCTTTGCAGTAGCCAGCATGTGTTTTTCCTTCCCTTGGTTTACTTCCCTGGGAGAAAGGCAGCACAGAAAGGTTCAAGGAAAGCCTAAAGAACACTGTACTACATCTGAATTTCAATCATAAAAGGAAAAAGCTGAAACCACCAGTATGGGTGTGTGTGTTTGGAGGAAGTTTTATGTTGTGGGGGAAATAAGAAAAGTAGCATTTGCAGCCGAGGGAATGGAGTAACCATCAGCTTAACAATGAATTGATGGTGAAGGGACAGTTGGCTTCTACAGAACTTCCTAGTTAGAGATATATAGAATACATACACTCTCTTTAATTTAGAAGGTCAGATTCAAATAGCAGGGCTAATACTATCCCCCCACAATTCCTTCAATTGTTTTTAAAAACTTCCAGTTTTTCTGTTTTATATTTTTTGAGATTATAATTATTAACAGCACAACATTCTCCCAAAATTCCCAATTTCCTGGCATAATGAAATGGATTTATACAATGGTTCCGTGAATAAGAAATAAAAATTGCAGAAATTTTAAAACTAGTCACAAATGTCTCATAAGAAAAACAGGAGCTAGTAAGATGATTCTGTATTGTAAGAATAATTTTGCCCTATATTGAGTCATTAAAATTCACAATTCACAAATTGTAACATTTCTAAAAAAAATTGTAGAAGTATACATATATCATCCCTTATGTACTAATAAAAGAAACTTAATAGACAATCAAGACAGTGCTTTAAATGATAACCATTGCAGAGAGGGATTTTGGCATTGATAACAAAATGTTAATTTGTTAAAGGACTGTGTCAATCCTAAGTAGACTCTCCCATAGTTTGCTGACTACATCAGCTCTTGAGATCTGGTATGATCAAAACATGTTCACTGGCTGTTAATACTTGGTAATGCTTTATGCATCACACAAACTAGTCCTATAAGACAACATGCTACTACTATCATTGACACCAAACCTTTAAAATATGCAGGCCTATAAAACAAATATGGTTGATAAACATATTCTTGAGGGCTGTTGTTTATGAGAAGACAAATTTTTCATAGACAGCTCTTGAATAAACTCAAATGAACTCTTTGCATCCCAACAACTCAATTGGTATTTAGGATAGTAGCTAAAAGCTATGAAAAACTATTTTGCAAACACACATCTATACATTCTGAAGCCTGCATTCCTCATCATGTGGAAATGATGTATCAAACCTAGTTGATGTTTGATAGAAAACAAAGAGAAGTCATTTTGTTAACATTAATTTTTATAAAATACCTTACAAGAACAATATAGTAACTTCAGGTTACATAATATTTAGAATTGAAAAAAAAGCTGAACAAAATATAAATTGATCACATCACTATTTTTACCACATTAAACAAGTTTATAAAAAGTATTTTTCTTTCAGATAAAATAGTTATTTAGAAGAAAAATCTTCAAAATAAAAACTATTGAAGTCCTTTCAAGAAATCAGTCTGAGAAGCATTACAGTTCCAGGTCAAAAGGCTGTGCCTGATTTAGAACTCACTTGTCTGCTTCCAAATGTATCAAGCTTTAAGACACAAATTAAAACATTTACCAGGTCAGTGCAAAGTAAAGCTTCAAGCTGGAAACAGGAGAAACAGAACAATGTTTCGGTCCAAAATGAATTCACATTATGAAAAGTCATTAGGTTATGTGCTCAGGATAGAAGGAAACTGGCATTAGAGTACTGGAAAGAATGTTAAAACAGATGCTTGTTATTTAGATGCTGAGTATCTATTTGTGCTCTATAATGTGAGATATCATCAACATTACTGGAACGCATCACTATCTGTTTAAACTATTTAAAATTGTTTGGCTGTAAGGCAAGGATGCATAAACTGCCCTTCCTTCTCCTGAAGACTTTTGTATGTGAGCCCAAAGTCATTCTGAAATAGCCATCTAGATGTAAATTTTTAAAAAATCAGAAAAAGAAAATATTAAATATGCATCAAGTAATCATTTGTTTTATTTAAATCAATTTAGATCTTGTATAGAAACTCATTCAAAGCCAGCAGACTGATGATCCCCCCCCCCGATCAACACTTTCAATCCAGATAAAGAATGTAAAATAAAAGTTGAAGAATGATAAAATTATTTAAGTTTTTGAATAACTCTCCATTGCAGAAACATGGTCATACTTCCAACCTAGCAAGTAGCTTATGGATTAGACTCCAAACCTGATTCATTTAGGACAGGGGTGTCAAACTAGTATCGTCAAGTGACATATCGGGACTTTTTTATCCTTCGCTAAACCAGACATGGCATGGCCAGTGCATGACATATCCTGCCCATGGGCCAGGAGTTTGACAGCCCTGATTTAGCAAGTGGTCATATAGCACAATATGATTGCTTAAAGTTGTGAAGTTGTGAATGCCCCAACACTGGAAGTCTTTAAGATGTTGGATAGCCATTTGTCTGAAACAGTATAGGGTTTCCTGCCTAGCCAGAGGGTTGGACTAAAGACCTCCAAGGTTCCTTCCAACTCTGCTTTTGTATTATTGTAAATATGTTTGTATACTTGTAAGTTATGTGCCCTTTTCCTCTGGAAACACAGAAATCTTGCAAAGATAATTTGCTATTTATTCTTCTGGCTGCTAACATGTGCACATTAATTTATAAAAGAATGTTTATATTTTGTTAAATTTAAATCCTGCTTTTCCTTGAGGAACCAATTATATCATACACAGCACTCTAAAAAAAAAGGTTATATTAACAGTGACCAACCCCAAGCTATTCAATAAGTTTCTTTGGCTGAGGATAGACTTGAATCTGGCCCAAGTCTTAGTTCATCACAATTATATTACACTGGCTTTCTATTTCTTTTGACTCTCTTCAAAAGCTGCACTTGAGAGCAAAAGACTTCTGTAATGGTGAAGAGATTTGTAGGAGTATTTTTCATTGGGACATGATATCATAATCTATCTTGTTAGACAAGTCCTGTATATGTTTTACTACTATGTTGGCACAATCAATGTAATAATTATAAATATTACTATTCATAGGATTTTTAAAAAAATATACAGGACAAAATCCTCTGATTACCCTAAACCACACAGACATATATGTGCCAACACACACATATACAATCCATTTTTCTGAACTACAATTGGGAAATTTTATTTTAAGAATGACATTACATCCTTTAATTTAGCAGCATATTAACTTTTTAAAACATACTTAAGTTGGGAGTATTAAAAATCTTTTTTTTTAACTTTGACTTCAAGGTAACAAGAGAAAGACTCTATCTACTCTTTTTGATACATTTAGATTTAAATGTAGTCATATTTCATGTTTATTTTTCACAGGGAGTAGTAGGGATGATGTGTCAGTGAAAATTCTATTTTTAAACAATCATTGTAAATGATGTTGATTCTATAGTTCTATTAATACACATTTATAATTTTCCAAATGACCAAGGATAAAAGATGTAACACTGGCATTACAGATTACAGGCATACCTGGCTTTTTATATTACTTGCAAATTCCACTAAACCAAGTCCAATCTTTGTGGAATGTTTACTATAGCTTTGGCCTGTCAAAGGCATCACCAGATGCTGAAATATTACCAAACCATATTCTATTCTATATGTTGCATCTTCCTCCCTCAATTATATGGGATCAGAGAAGACTGGAGGGTCAACCTACACATTTGTGTGTCTCTATTCTTACACTATGTAATATATAACTTAAACAGGTCAGTGATGGTGAACCATGCCCAAAGTGTAATATAAATGCCAATTTCATCCAGCAGGAACGGATTTCATAGATTTAAGAGAAGCTAGAGAAAATAGGCATTTCAAGATTACATTTGTTTTGTTTTTTTTAAAGGAATTGGAAGATCTAGCTTTAAAATGTGGGCTTCAATTCCTAGAAATCCCCACCCAGCATTCTGAAGCCCACACATCTTAAAGTTGCCAAGGTTGAGAAACACTGATCTAGGGGAAAATGAAATTCATTGAAAAATTTGATTTGGCTTGTGCTTCAAAAAATTACTAGTCACTCAAGGCAGAAAGTTATGTTCAAGAATACAGACACAACACAATAAGTTGGTCTGGGGACTAAGTAAACATTTAAGGTATAATGTAACTTAATTAAAATCCTTGTAAAATTGGTTGATACAGAATAGAATTCAGAAACAGCATAGCAAATTTAAAGTGTTCTTAAAATGATTCTGTCCCCAAAGCTGTGATGAAATAATTATCTACACAGGAAATTAACCAAATACTTCTTTCCATAAGACAAGATAATAATTTACCTGGACACTGATAATATAATTCACTCTGATGGATTTCATATATCAGCCAATATTAAGGCACGCACAGCCTTTCATTAAGCTTGTCAAGGAACAAAAGTCTAATTTCAATCCCATACCTTTCGCATTTTGAATAACTATATCAAAAAGGATTTATGTTTTCAGGTCATTATCATGCAATTCTGTATATTTTAATTTTGTAAGATAACCATACTGATCTTGAAGCTTAACAACCACATGTCAAAGAAAAGCTACCCAGTGTTGCTGGTCAAAATACCTTTTAAAATAGACCAGTAACAAAGTAACATATTACACATTCATTATTTTTGCTTTGTGTAAATAGCAACGGTCTTATCAGAAAAATAAAATCAGTAGTGAAGGCCTCATTTTTCTTGCATTTTATTTGAGCAGAAATGCAAAAAGCTTTCAAAGCTTCTTGAAAAATAAAAATGGAGAGTGCACTTATATATGTATAAAAAGTAACTGACTTAGTAAATGGGGCAAATCAGTATAAAGACAACTGGAAATGCCTCACAGTAGAAAATATGAACAAGAACACAGGAGGACTATCAGCTTTAAAATTATCATTTACCATCTTGTAAACATGAAAAAAGCATTTCACAGATTAAAAGTTCATGGGAAGTAAACGTCTTTAAATTATTTGTCAGTTCAACCCTGATTCAAAAATATGGCTAGCAAAAATACAGATTTAATTCACTTATATCTTAAAGTGAGCAGTTGATCTTATTTTGAAAAATTGTTCCAACTCATTCTTTGAAGATACATCCAGGGAAAAAAATCTCACTTGAATCCCATCTCACAATTGTACAATATTTCTCATGTTTACACACACACATACAGAGAGAGAGAGAGAATTAGGCTTGCTGCAAGGTTTTCCATACTATAGATTGAGTCGTGGAGAAACTGATGGAGGAAAGCAAGCAAATTCTCTTAGAATGCTCCGTGCTACATCAAGATTATTCTGGGCTATTTCAAGGGCCCTCTTCACTTCTTCAAAAGAATAACCTTCTCCCATAAGTTTTGCAATCTTTGCATCAACATTTTCTACAGATGTATTATGTGCCTTCCTATGGTGTATTTCTGGAGCAGTCCTACGAGGAAGTGGTTTTGGAGGTCTGGCTGGTGCTTGCGAACAATCTACATAAAAAGGGGGAAAAAAGAATGATAATTTTTTATGGAGAAAAAAAAAGATATTCCTGGCTAATACAAAGTCATTGATTCTATTCAATTGTCTAACTATCAAAGGTAATTTCTGAATTTGAACTGCACTGTGTATTTATACATATTTAAACTTTGCACAGATAGGAGCAAAAGAATTATTACTTGTTTTGTTTGGTTCAAGAACAAGCCTTCCATTCTTCTGAGGTGGATAAAGAGGACCCAGATTGCTGGGGGCAACATGCTGACTCTAAAAACCTCTAAGAGAGGCTGTAAAACACTGTGAAGTGGTATATAGGCCTGAGTCAGTGGTTCCCAACCATTTTTTGGTTATGCCCCACCTAAACATCTATAAAATTCTGATGCCCCCACATGACATATAATTTTTATTTTATTCAAAAAGTGAACTCTACTTATGCGGAGAAGCCTAAAAGGCCATTAACTTGGTTTAAACAAGGTTCAAATTGCCCCCATTAAAAATCAAATTGTCCCCCTATGGGCATGAGCCCCACATTGGAAACCACTGGTCTATGCTATTGCTATTAGATGTTACCAAACCATGCAAGAAAGATATAATTAAAACTACTTCATTTTAACTTTAACTGATTTTCTCTAATATTTTCTATTAATCTAAGACCTTCACATTTATGATTCCTCTGTTATCACAATATTTATCTCTATGACGTACAGTTGCAAACTATAAAGTGTTCTTGGAATTAATGAAAATCAGGGATGACATTTTAAAGCATAATTTAATAAATACAAATGCAAATAAATTATCTCAGAAATTACAGGTAGTCCTTGATTTATGACAATTGAATCCAAAATTTCTATTGCTATACGAGACATTTCTTGCCCCATTTTTTGACCTTTTTTGCCACATTTGTTAAGTGAATCACTGCATTTATTAAGTTGGTTAGACAGCTGTTAAGTGAATCTGCCTTCCCCATTGACTTTGCTTGTCAGAAGGTTGCAAAAGGTGATCACCCCAGGACACTGCAACCACCATCATAAATATGAATCAGTTGCCAAGTGTCTGAATTTTGATCACATGATCATGGGGATACTACAATGGTCATAAGTGTTTAAAAAGTAGTCATAAGTCACTTTTTTCACTGCTGTTGCAGTTTTGAATGGTCACTAAATGAACTGTTGTAAATCGAGGACTACCTGTAATTACATATCCGACGACCTTCCATTCTTAAGGTTTTTAATTCAACGCATTCCAATAAATTAATTACAATGAAAGACAGTAAGAATTTTTATCTTAATCATACATATGAATGGGATTATTTAGTTATTATCAGCTGTGGTCACAGTAATAATAATTCATATGAAATTGATTTTAACAAGTCTTTATTCCATCAAATGGCTACATCAATTCTGATCATAAAATGGGCTGAAATAAATATAACATATGCCTTATTTTTATTCAAGAATATAAGTATTGGTCACAATATTTTGTTTGATTTGGGTAAAACTCTATGAACATAAACTATAGAATCTAAATCTATTTTAAAAAATATTTTCAACTAGTACACAAATTTCCTCTTAATTTGGCTTCAATGTAAATTATTGATACATTCTGTATTATATTGCTTGCAATATGACTAAGGGGATGATATTTAGAAACATGTTATTTCAAATAGATCTTAATATTTGAATATCCTTATTTTTTTTTAAAAAAATATGTTTGAAATTGTCAGCAATGAGAATCTTCCAGTGGCAACATTAATTCATTTACTAGTATCCAAAACACCACAATTAATAGATAGGAATTATTTATAATACATGCCAAATTATGGATATTGGACAATTATGTTATTGGATAGAATTAGTAAACAATGAGGAGTTCTTGGTGCTTCCTGAGCTTAGTTGTTTGCCAAAGACTCTTCATATCATTCAATCCTGAGCTATATATATTATCGTCTATTGGAATAAATAATGCATAATACATAGCTATTATAGCTTATATCAAGTATACCAACATCCACATTAAAAAGATCCAAGTGATTTAACTTGTACATGATGCACCTGGAAACATATTACATAAAATTGATGAAATTGAATTTTGGAAAAGATCTGTGTAAACTAATTGCATTACTATACACACTAAAGCAATATATTATAATAAGAGCTTGAAAATATTTTTTCACACCTTCTATTAGATTAGAACTTCAAACCCATTGGGCAGAGTTTATTACAAAGCAAGTTATGTTGAAGTTAAATTTAAACTCATACACTTACGGTATAGGTACATAAGAAGTTTCTACTGTTATAACAAATGCACTCGGGATTACCTGTTGTCTTTTTTTAAAAACAGTTACCACATCTAAAAAGACTTTCAGCCTACAGCTATCTAATAGTGTCACTGTATCTAATAGTGTAATTCAATTTTGTTTATTGGCAACAAACATACTTTTGGCATACTTTACTCAAGTGTCCAGTCTAATGGTTAAAATATGGGAATGCTCAGATGGCAGACAAGACCCTTTACTTACATAGCCTTGTACTTGGGGACTCCAAGCCAATTATAACTGTACCTTTCCACCACAAATCTTAAAGGAGATGTAATTGAAAAGTTCTCCATGGGCTCCTAAAGTTAAATCAACTACCATCCAATTACAAGTACCTCTTTGTTACTAGAAACATAGATCACTGAATCAAACTTGTAAAAAGTGTATTTTGAGTCATCAAGTTTAAGTATTGTCATCAAGAATACAATTTAAAACATCCAATAAAAATGAGTTGTCCAGCCTTTGTGTTGGCAATGTGCTTAATAATGTAGCAACTGGCTAGCTGCAGATATTTTGAAATGACATGATTTTAACTCTTTCCTAGGATTAGGCCTGGGTTTGCAAATTAGCATATCAGATACTCTTCTGAAGGACAGAGTTAAATACAATGCAATTCTATTGATGTTTGATGTCCATGTAGCTTAATACTGTCAACCACAGTAGTTCCTTGGCTTGTCTCTGTGAATTGACAGTGCCGTTACAATAATTTCACTCCTACTTGCAGAGTTGAGTGACCATCTCTCTATTCTGGCAACAATATCATGGGGTACCTCAAGACATTATTTTGTCCTCAGTGATATACAATAACCATAAAAATTGCTGGAGGAAGATTATCTGGAGTTTGAGGGCTAATAACAATCAGTATGTTGATGATAAAATTCTCTGTAACCTCTGAATTAAGAGAGGCATATTCCAAACCAGGACACAGCAATGGGGTAGATAACAGCCAATAAATAGAGACTGTATCTTAATAAAATTTTGGAATGGGTGGTTTCCACATAAGAATTTTAGAAATTTGCTTGCTCTAACTGGAACCTAAGTGACATATTTCTAGTTTTTGTAAGTGTACCAGTTATATCTTTACATGGATGGGAACAGTTTAGCTGTATTTGTTTAGGAAAGGGAAACTTTATATTTAGATTACTATAATATATGCTACAAGGGTAGCTTTGTGCCGATCTGGAAAGAGAAGTGCACACAAAATGTGGCATAGCAGGTTGCTAAGTATGGCGCATGATCATGCACATGTTATATGTTTCTGTTCGTTTCAAATTCAGTATTATGCCAGGTTGAAGATTCTGCTCTTTATATTAGAAGATCCTAAATAATGTGGCACTAGGATACCTAACAGATCAATTATGCTGTTACAGACCTGATTGGCAAGATCATCCTAGGAGGTTCTGCTGCGTGTGCTGAGACTGACTGATTGTCATCTTGCGGTTACTCACAGACAAGCCTTTTCTGTAATGATGCCTGTACCCTGGAATGTTCGGCCACCTGAAATTCATGAGGTACCTACTGTTACATCTTTTAGGTACCTTCTGCCAGGATTTCCTTCTATCAATGTTTGATGGCTAGTTTTGCTTTTATTTAACATATCTTTACTTTGTTTTTATTATTGTGTTTAATCCTTCTGATTGTAAACAAGTCCAGTATGAAAAGCACTATAGAAGCATTAATAATGCATCTTGAATTTGCATAATATTTCAGCACATTTAATTATGGATTTTTTCTGGTAGTGATTGTGATGTTCTCTTTTTATGCTAAGAGTGAATTTGTAGATGCTAACACTACACAGCAATTTTGTTTATTATAAACCAGCATAACCAAGACTGACTCCCAGCAGTTTACAACACAAAAACAGAAACACAGAATAAAAACCAGGAATGAAAACAGCAGCACATAACCCTGATGCCAAAACCAAGGACAATGGTAACGCTCTTTGAAAGTGATATGGAAAAGCTCTAGTTTCACTGCCTTACAAACAGATTAAAGGGTTAAAACAAACTGAAGATCTATAGAAAGGGGGAAGGGATTGATATCCTACATCACATATTCTCCATTTTCAATTTCAATATATTTTCTGAAAGATTTAATCTGAAAGATTAAAGTAACAAATGTATCTTTTTGAGAAATTATGCAGAATATACAGTTCTGTAATTTTATTCCTATATATTGGATTTTAATTACCTGAAGAAGATGGCAATTGGTCATAATCCTGGGATATTCTGTGGGCCTTTATGTTTTCACCAGTTAATCTTCTAACGGGTGGTAAAGGAACTGAGCCATTTGTAGGGTCAAAAAAAAGATCTGTGAAAGGAAAAATAAAGATCATTTTGTGTATTTCTATTCATAGGACATACATTGACAAAAAGGTAATTCAAAGTTAAAAAATACAAAAGAAATGAATGGTGTAATATGTTAAATTTTAATTTAATTGAGTTGAATTGTAAGGTCCTCTTCATGAAAAGGACTCCCTTCTAATGTGGATTTCACCTTCTTTTTAACGGTTTACTTTGCTAATCAGAAAAAATGTGATTTTAATCAACTATTGGGATATGCCATAAAGAATTCACAGACAACCTGAAGTATAATGTTAAGACTATGCACTCTTTTAGTTGTCATGAAATCTTTCTATCCACTCATTTGCAGCTTTGTTCCCCACTGTTTGCTACTGCTTTGCTTCAACTGAATTTTATAAACTTTTAACATAGATTCACAGTAGAGCCACCCATGCAACAAAGCTTCTCAGAGTTTTCTTGTGGCCTCTGAAAAGAATTAGAGAATGTGTGGCATATCTTTCCCTCAGAGGAAAGAAAAAAGACTCCCTAGGTGAAGATACCTTTCATGAAGAGTGCTTTAAACCAAACATTATTGGCAAAGCATTAGTAAACACACATATGTTCATCAAAGGAGAAGAGTTATATTTAACAAATTTAAAAAAATAAAAAATAAACTTTTTACAATTACCCAATTAATAACTGTTTCAAAAGGAAATAATATAAAAATGAATTATTGTGCAAGGTAGGACTTTAGAACATTTCCAGACCAAGTGCTGCACTTTGTTTTCAATGGCATGCTGGGAGCTTCATTCCCTAAAATAATTACTAGAATCAGGACAGTAGCTAAATTTGATTTCGCTTCATTTAGTTTTGCATTTAGTTAATATTAAATACAGTTACTATGATTACTCTCTAATCGTGTTTTTAATTTTTCTTTCATGTCCCTTTGTAATTTGAGAACCTTTAAAAGCCTCTGAAGACCATCGCTAAAGACTTTTTAAAGCCTCATATAAAAAGTTAGAGAAACAAGTATTAGCAATATTCAATGAGAGAAGCATTAAAAAATTAAGACGGCAGTGAAATTGATAAAATGTATAAATTACGCAAAATTAGACTGTGCTATTACCATTTTATAAATGGTATCTCCATCAGCAATGCAGAGTCAATAGCTCTAACAGTTATAGATCCTTTAGCCAGCTACAGTAAAAATCTACAGCTGAGAGAAAGCAGAGCAGAAGCTATGAATCTTTCCCATTTTGAATTGCCAACTTTGCTCCTTGCCTCTCACCTCCATGAATGTATTTTATATAGTTCCAAATTTTTATTGCCATTTTGCTGTTTATTCCCCACATTTTAAAAAAGTCCTGAGACTTGTATTTAAATTTTCCTTTGCTGAGGATTGAAGTAAACTCACCCAGTGCTGTAAATCCTCCAGATCCAAAAGTTTCTACTGGTCGAAAGGCAGTTAACAAGAAATTTCTTAATGTGATTAGAAAAGGAAGTATGCAAACTTAGCATCCTTTCAAAGGCATCAAGCACAGTTTGAGCAAGATGGCTATTCCCACATTTCCCAGAGTGCTAAACTCCCTGGAGACATTTGTGGTCTTTTCACAAGGAGCAGCTGTCTGGGGCACCTGTGGGTGATATCAATTCCTCTCCTTATCTGGCCAGCTCTTCATTCCTCTGTGATTGTCAGCTCTGGATTTTGCAGAGTTGTCTTTAATCTGCCATTCTTCCAAATGGCAAAACTCCAAACACAAACTACCTCTTAATTTGCAGATCACTATACCATTAATAGTGTATATTTCAGAAATGTGGGAAATTAGCTTGCTTATTTTTCTACATAACCTCATAACTCCGATTTTATAGTGTACTTCTCCAAATGCATGGTTAGATCTATGTTGACAGGCAGTTAAATATTTAAGAACATTTTTATAACTAAATCTCTATAGTAAAATAAAATAATTATCACCACCACCATCTCTTACCAGCGGGAGGGTGGTATAGTTCATGTCCAGACAGGGGTCTGTTTCCTGCAACAAGTGGTCTTGTTTGCTCAATGAAGCTATGGCGTGCAGGAGGTGGTGGAGGTGGAGGAAGGGAAGGTGGTAGATTGTCGGACAAATCTTCACCTGCATTGACAGAGAAATTATATAAACCCATTATTAGATCATTTTCCAAAACTTGATCTAGTAATACAGGGATTTTAATACAGGTCATTACAATGGAGCCTGGAATTTTGGTCATAAATTGTGTTAAGTGGGTCACCACAACAATTCTTTTTGGGAGGAAAGATAATCGGCGCTATCTCAGTTCTGTTATTTGTGACCAACACTTCCAGTCTAGACTTGTCTATTTTAGGAGCCAAACTGGTTAGTAGATAAATGAATTTGGAGGGAACAAATTTCTATTGAATCAGTCTTCAGTTAAACTCCAAAGCTATTCTGATTAATACCGTATAAGAAAAAATGTCTTTAACTAAAAAGTCAGAATAAAGAACTTTTAGTCTTTTTTTTTTGGGGGGGGGGGTGTTCAAATACTTAGCTCAGAATTTTCTTTAGGAAGTGTAAACTTTTATGATAAGTAGGCTCTTTGAATCTGAGTCCAGACTCAACCTTTCTGCTAGTAGAAAGCCACATTTCTTCATTTGTACGATATCGCCTTCCTTGGCCCAAATCAATCATCACTGTGGGGGCCGACAGCCAATACTATATTAATGCTTGTTTTCCTTGATTCAGGGTTATAAAACTATTCAGGCTCTTCCATAGCTGACCCAAGATACAGTCCACATTCTGGTGATATCCCAATATCAGTAATATCAGTCTTTGAAGCCATTATATAAAATGAAAGTAAAGTTTCTGCTAGAGAAATTGCTGACCCCTGTTTTAGGTTGCTACACATTGAAACATATTACATAATATTCTAGTCTTTTTCACCAAAATAAAGACACTAAAATTAAAAAGAATTTGGGACCTGCTTGACGAATAACAGCCAGGCAAATCGAGGTAATTTGAGAAAACATGCCTAGATGAAACTTGTTAATCTAGTTTATTTTTTTTTAAAAAAAAAATTAAATGTTCCCCACTCCCAATTTAGGAAATACATTAAAACAGAATACAGTATTATTCTATAGTATTATAAATTATGTTGTTATATTTATGATAATTTGAGATGGAATTCAATTCATTTTGATTTTGAATAAAATGTTCACATCTAGCTAAATTTACATGTGGAAGACAAATACATAAACCTGGACAAATCTTAATCTAATACTACTAAATATTACATCAAATATATTATCATTTGCAGAAAAATGTAATTATTTTAAATTGACTGTAGAATACTGGTATGCCTCAAATTAATACCACAATTGAGCCCAAACTTTGCCCATTTTACGATCTTTCTTGCCACAGTTTTTAAGTTAATCACTATAGTTGTTAAATTAGTCAAACTGTTGTTAAGTGAATCTGGCTTCCCCATTGACTTTGCCTGTCAGAATGTCACAAAAGGGGATCACATGATCCTGGGACACTGCAACCATCATAAATATGAGTCAATTGCCAAGTATATAGTACAGCCATATGTGTGAAAACTGGTCATGTCACTTTTTCAGTGCCGTTGTAACTTTGAACGGTCACTAAATGAGATGTTGTAAGTTGAGGACTACCTGTACAGTCATAAAAATCAATGAGGCATCATTTACTCAATACTTAGTGTAGGATCTTAGATTTAGTCTACATATAGCTGTGTTTGAAAGATTGATTATAAGGAGCTTGCTATTGGAAAGAAAAAGAGAAATATATAACCTGGAGGATGCACAAGCAAGTCATAATCAGAGGACGTTCTATTGAGTACAGATGCATGTTTCAAATTTTCCCTCAATGGAGGTCGCAGAGGTGGCAGAGGTATTGGAATAGTAGATTCAAAGGCTTCTCCTAAATACCAAACATTTAAAATACCTTAATTTTTAAGCTTTCAAAAGCAGCATATTAATTTTTCCCTCTAAACATGTACTACTCATACCTATATCAGGTTGTTTCAATTTTTTCATCTCAGATGAAGTATTGTGCATTTCACTACTTATTCCAGAGCACTGACCATTCTCAAATACACTGAAAGCAAACATAAAACCTGTAGTTTTAATCACATAGAAGTTACATGGAATTAGATGCAAAAATGAAACGCAAAATGAAGATACTTAAACTAGTACTAAGAAAATTTAACTTCAAACAACTTCAACTCTTTCCCTTTGCCCCCATTTTAAGGACTATCACCAATCTTAATCTTTAATAAAAGACAACATCATTGTTTTCTAGCACCAACTGCACACGAATTCAATAGAGGCAGATCAGAACTCAAACCAAACAAAGTTTGATAAAATGACTGACAATTATAATTCATTTCACAACGTTTCTATAAAGGGAAATACATACATGAATTCTAAGTTAAGTAAAATAAAATAATGAGAGGAGGGGAGGGAGGTAGGTTGATTTAATTTCTATAACCACCCATCTCAACAAGTGACTGAAAAGAATTAACAGTACAAAATTAATATATATGAAACCAAGCAAAATTTACTATGTATATTAATACAGCTTGGACATAGGGCCCTCAACACACTTAAGGCCCCAAGCCTGAGCACAAAACCAAGTCTTCATGGCCTTGCAAAAGGACAACAGAGTTAGGATCATCCTCATATCTGACAAACGATATTCCAGCAGACAGAGCTGATTTCCTGATTTCTGTTAGTCAACACTCCTTGACTGATAGGATCTGCAGCTTGCCCAATCTGCCTGACCGAATTGGACAGATAGAAATAACTGGGAGAAGACTATCCCCTAGTAACCTGATTGCAGATCATAAAAGGCTTTTTAAGCAATAACCAGCTCCTTGAATTGCACCCACAACCACACAGGAATATTGGTAACCCACAAAACAGTGATGTTACATGTATCAAACACATATAGCTACAGTCTGTATCAGTTGAAGCTTCTGAGTGCTTTTTAAGGGCAGTCTCATGTAGAATGCATTGCTGTAGTTCAGAAAAAAAGCCACAAGGCATGAGTCAGCAAATCCTCCCTATCCAGAAATGGGTACAACAACAGTCATCTTATAGGGGAGATGGGTGGTATAAAGTTTAATCTATATATCAATAAACTGGCATACTATCCTAAGTTGTGCAAAGGCCTTCTAGCCACCTCTTGCATCCAATCTTCTAGCAGGAACCATGACTCCAAGAGGATACTTAGATTGTGCACTGGGTCCATCTGGGGCAATGCCACTCCATCCAAAACTAGTGGTGGCAAAACCTTATCATCATAAGCCCCAAATATGCAAACTCTGTTCTGTCTTCCGTGGGTTGAGTTGAAAACCAATATATGCCATCAAGATTCTTACAGCCTCCAGGCACTGACATGGGACAGGTAGTCCAGGGTGGAGATACAAAGCTGGATAGCATCAGCATATTGATACTGACCGCCGAGGTACCCCACAAAGTAGGGTTGGAACTCTATCCCCACATGTTGGAACTCTATCCCCATCAACACTAACTGGAATGGAGCCTGGAGAAAAAAGGAGAATCAAAGCAATGTTGCTCACCACCAATTCTCAAAGATGGTCCAGAAAAAACTGTGATCAATGGAATCAAAGGTCACTAAGAGATCAAGAAGAACAAGGACAGTCGCACAATTCCCATCTCACTACTGCCAGAGGTCATCTAAGAGCAGTCAATGCTGTCTCAGATCTGTACGCAGTCAGAACCCCTGACTGAAAAAGGTCCAGATAATCTGTTTCATCCAGTGTTCTCTGCAGCTGCTGCATAACCACCATATTTATAAACATCCTAAAAAAAGGGAAGGTTGGAGACTGGACAAAACCCAGACTGGTTGAGTCAGATGACTCCTTTAGGACAGAGTGCTCTAATGCCTCCTTAAGAGCTGACGGAATCACGTCCACCCTCAAGGGTATTAATTACTGCTCAGACCCAATTGTTTTTCTTTTTTGTGTACATGCATGCGTGTACTTGCTGAAATATGTTAAAAAGGTGATATTCTATTAAGTATTAAAAGCTGTGAATTATATTCTGAGAATGTATGTTGGCAAAAAGTCTATTCTTTGTATGGAAAAAAAAACTAAGAACAAGGCCTAAAAATTGAGCAGAGAGGTGCTGAAACCTTATACCAAAATATTTTAAATTCTGCGTAAAGATGTAATCTTAAAAGTAATATTATAATTAACATCAATCAAATATAAAACTAAACTGACTGTCATGTCAAATGGTTCTCTACCATCAACTTAAAATAACCTTACCGAGTATGAGACTTCATATTATGGCAATGAAGTGATTGTGAAGGCAAAGAAACAGGATGAGATGAAGGAATCTTGTACTCATCTTCTACATGGTCTCTTGATTTTTCAGAAAAGGAATTTATAACAGCAACAGAAGACCTCAAGAGAAAAGTACACCAAATCCAGATGAGTTTTTGTTGGTACAGAAAATAAATATATCAATCACTGCATTTACAAATGGATTTAATTACATTTTTTTCTATTTTATTGCCACAACAAAGCCAAAAATAGAGTAGGTATGTGCATTTAATGAGATACAAATGTGTTCCACTTCCTTATGGAGGTTGTGCACTTTGCTCTCTTCTCTCTTTTTCCACAAGCCAAGGAAACACTCAGAAATTTCCAGCTTTGATTAACTGCAGCTTTCTTTGCAAAACAAATTCAGATGTCTCAAAACACAGAGACACACAAAGCAAAACTTAAGAAGTTTAAGCCATACTATGTTCATTTTAAAAAACTAGAAGAGCTGAATATAAAATTAAGGAATCATAGCTGTATTTTCTTTAAATAAAATTTGAAATGCTCTACGTGTCAAAAAAACAATTGTTCCATGGAAATAATTCAACAAATTAACAATTCATTGATAATTTATAATGCAAATTATCACTAAAGCATATATCAAAATGCAAGATGCTATGAATCTATTTCCATAAGCTCCAAAGTCTTCCCAACTCTGAGAGTTCAATCTCCAAAGGTAATTTTAGGAACTGTCATTAATTATGTACGGATGTTTTAAAAGCAGGCATTTACGACATTTATATAGTATTATACAACTCAAAAGATTCTGATTATACATGTAAACACCCTAAAGTGTAAGGGCGAAGTTATGGCTTGTTAGTGTCCATTTTGGTTAGCTTTAGGACAATTAAAAATTGAAACAATGGGGAAAAAATACCCAATGTGATGTGAGGAAGTAAAAGAGATAACTAGCTTCAAGCTACAATTTAGGGGGAGATTCATGAGAAAGGGAATATTTTCCTTCCAAAACAGGATTTGAAATGTTCATTTTCACTATTAGGCATTTTGTACTATGCAAACTGTGTTTCAAAGCAGTTTAAGCTATATAAAATATAACAAAAAAGTGGCTTTTTAGATTAATTTATTTAATAAAAAGTATATAACATTCAATGAAATTTAAGGCTTATAAAGATAAAATATTACTTTCTGTAAAGTCTTTGAAACAAGACAAAACGTACAGCTGTTTTAACCGGTATCCCAAATGAGTATTTCATTTGCCAGCAGGAATGTTATATAAAACTACAGAAACTGAATTAATTGTATTAACGAAGATATATGTAATTCAAGATTATATTTGAACTGAAACTATTAATTTGACATCTAGCAATGATCATTTCAGAGATAACATTTATAAGCTCTTTTTCAACTATAAGAACCATACCAAATGACACCACTGATCTCAAATTCAATTGTCAAGCATAGTGCTTTTATGACATACTTTATACATCTGACATATCATCTTATGATCTATCTAATGAAAAGATGATAAGCCCTGGCAAGTTAGATTTACTCTAATAAGCTTTATGTTGGCAAGATCAAAACTGGATTTTGGCCTGCTTCAGCATAACTTTGTGAGCAAATGATACTATATTCATATGAGATACTATTTTTGATTATGTAACTTAATTGACCTATTGAATTGAATTTGTACAGAAATTTATTTTTTTACAATATGTTTTTAATAGTATACAGTATAATGAAACAAACCAAGTAACCAAATTGTCTTTACAATCCCCAAGGTTTGTCACTACTTTTGAGCACCCCTAATGTTTGCAAATTGAAAGCTGAAAAATTTGACTCGCCATAATACACAGTATATGTTCTTAGTTTACAACGTATGTTATTAGTTTTTTTTTCTTGTTTTGCTATTTTAGTTTGGCTTTATTCATTTCTATATTTTAAAACTTGTCTTAAATCACCTGGAGTTGTATGAGATATGCAGTATATAATAAATGAATAAATACTAAATAAATAAATAATTTTATATTATTATAAGTGGATTATTTATTTATAAATATATTATTTATAAATAAAGAATGACATAGGACTGCCCTTAAAAAGTATCCAAAAGTTTCAATTGGTTCCAAATGTGGCACTCCACATGGCTTTATGCAGGCCTAGATATACACATGTGTCATCTCTCCTGCGGAGACTGCATTGACTGCTGATGCACTCCCAGATCCAATTAAAGATGCTGGTTGTCACCTTTAAAGCCCTATATAGCAATAGCAATAGCAGTTAGACCTATATACCGCTTCATAGGGCTTTCAGCCCTCTCTAAGTGGTTTACAGAGTCAGCATATTGCCCCCAACAACCGGGTCCTCATTTTACCCACCTCGGAAGGATGGAAGGCTGAGTCAACCCTGAGCCGGTGAGATTTGAACAGCCGAACTGCAGTCAACTGAAGTAGCCTGCAGTGCTGCATTTAACCACTGCGCCACCTCAGCTCTATATGACTTAGGACCAGGTTATTTGAATGATCATCTTTTCCTAGTTACATTTACCTGACCCACCAGAGTGGAGTGGGCAGGGAATGCTACTGGTCCCTTCTCCTAAGGAGGTTCATCTAGCAGGACCAAGAAAAAAGGCCTTCTCCATGATGGCTCCCTCCCAGTGGAAAATCACCCTGTGGAGATACAATTAGCTCCCAATACAACTTTCAAAAGGTCCTGAAGACATGTCAATGAGCCCAGGGATTCCAGATCGGGATAGAGCCCATCAAGTAGTTTATTTGATTGATAGTTGTCATCGGGGGGGGGGGTATTGCTTGTTACTGTTTTTATATTGGGTTTTCAGCTGTCCAGATTTATTGACAGTGAGTTGGGCAGGCATATACATTTTCAAAAATAAAATACAGGTCTGATGTTTTGCCACATTTTTTTAAAAAAAACTTAATGGTTTCATGTTTTATCAACTGCAGTGCATATCATGAGGATTCTATTAAATGCCAGCTTTAATAAAAATAAACAATTTCCTCAAGATCCACTCAGATGGTCTTGCATCTGTTACTTAATGTTTACAGTTTTTTTTTTACTAGAAAGAACAGTCTTGCCTTTATACTTTGCCTAGAATAAACAGAGTTGACGGAAATCTATAAAAGAGGTGGTATGAGAGATATCATATCACCAGATTCATAAAAATTGAAAGATGTGGGGAAAAGGGATTATATCTAGTAGTGAAAAACAGCATTTATGAAACAGAGTCCCATAGAGGAAAAAAAGAAAAAACTTTATTACAAGTCCTTTTATCAGCACTATACATAATTTTATATTTAATCTTCCAGGTATATGTCTATCATGTGGGAGACTAGAAGGAAAGAATGATGGTGACTGAAAATTGACTATTCTATGTCCCTTAGAGAGGCTAATTTCGATTTCTGAATTTTTAGTTTGAAATTTTAGGAAATGTAAATAGTTTTTTTTTTTACTCTTTTCCATTTTTATGATGGTAGATTGGTGTCCATCGTAACCCACTTTCCTCAAATCTGGACACTAGAACTGCTAAAACTTTTTTTAAATTGTTTTTGAAACATTTTCATCAAAATTCTTTGAATGACTTCTATAAGCAAGCATTATTTGTATGAATATGTGCCTTCAAATAAGTGTTCATGTGTGGTGAGAGCCTGGAAAACTCTTTATAGTTCCCTTGGCAAGATTTTGGAACTGTTTTGCCACTGTCTCCTCCCTATGGCTCCAAGAGGTTACCCAGAAGCTTCATGTCAAGGCAGAAATAGAACTTATAAGTCTCCTAGCAGTTGGCAGGATTTATGAAAAATTCTGGAGAGAGTTTTTCGGGAGGTAAATCTACTCTTTCCTCATTTTAGAAAGTGTTTTTTATCATTGTTTAAAAATGAAACACTAGATCAACCTAATGACTCCTAAAACAGACTTTATTTCTCCTGGCAAAGAACCTATTGTTTCAACAAACAGAGATGAACGAGAAGATGACTGGTTAATTCTAGAAACAATTTTTTCACTTTAGTGAATCCCATATTGACACAATATTATTATTGCCTTATTAACTCTGATTTTTCAGAGTTTTGTATGCATCACAAATTCTGCATCTTTAAGACTTCAAATCTAAGTTTTGTGATTATCATTATGAAATGCCTATTAACAGAATCTGACGGAACTATGATATGGTAACTCAATATTTATTCACAGTCTTCTTTAATGCTCTTATAAAACACTTTTAAATATATTTTAAAAATTCATCTTTGCACAACACTTCTAGATAAATGACGATCTGAAAAGTCCCAAATTTGTGAACATATTCTGCTCAATACATAATTCTAATTCATAAAAATAAAAAATCTGCATCCTCATAATTTGTATAATTAATGTTCTTAAAAACTTACTTCATATTTGGCATGGCTGAAACAACTGGTGGGGGAGGTGAAATGCGAGGTGGAACATCATATTCTTCATTACCTAGATGGCCATTTGAAAATATCTGCAAGAGATAATTTCTCAGTATGGTAATTTGCAAACTACATGCAAGTAAAATGCTCATTTACAACATTTTGAACCCATTCTCATCTTTAATTTTATGTTCCATTCCATCTGTAATCAATATAAATTTCATGTGTTCACACTATAAATAATTCATCTAAGGTTTCCTCACACATTTTTAACAGAACAGAATATGTAACAAATATAACATATATCTAGGAGAGAAGCAGCTCCAGCTAAGAAATTTCCTGACAGTGAAAACAATTAACTAGTAGAACAGCTTTTAGAAGTTGTGGATGCTCCTTCACTAGAGGTTTTTAAGAAGAAATTGGAAAGCCATTTGTCCAAAACAGTATAAGGTCTCCTGCTTGTGCAGTGGGTTAGATTAGAAGACTCTTCCAAGGTTCCTTCCAACTGATATTCCATTTTGTATTTTGTTACCTAAATAATTCAGCTAGGGTTCCCTCACACACTTTAATAGAATATTCCTTAAAATGTCTTAACAGAATTTTTTGTTTTTAGTTATTTTACTATACAATTTTCAAAGAAATTATAATTAAATAGGCCACTAAATTTTATATTACATTTACGTTATACTGTATTATTATTTAAGCATTCATGTTCATTAAACTTCATATATTGCATCATGTATCTTCTATTGGAAATTCATGACATAAGAATTGTTGCAGAAATCTTGTATCATGCAATAATGTTTTCCACTGATATCTGAATTTGCAGTAAGTCCAATTATCATTTCCTATAAATGACTTCCTATTACTTAATTATTTTACATACTTCTCAACAGCATCAGACTTCAAGTTCAATATTCCTAACTAAAACTAAACTTCATGCATCATGCCATCTGGCTCTTACCTTGGTACCTTCTAAAGGTAATTCAGGGAATCTGTGCTTTCGTAGAAATAATGGATCAGAACCCATACGACAATGTCTTCCATTCATATTTGAGCTTGCAGTAAGTCCAGGTTTGGGACAATTATCATTTCCTACTATACGACATCCCACAATTTGATTATTCCCACACACTTCTCTGGGGCACCAGGCTTCAAGTGGCATTGGTTGTTCTCTGGCAGATACACTTTCGGGATGATGCAAATGTCTACTTAACCTATTATCTGGAGGAATGGGTGGAGGCCTTTCTGGTGGAGGTGGAGGTGGATCTCGTATTGGTGGTGGTGGTGCTGGAAGAGGCTTGTCTTGTTTCCTCAGCATACCTGGAGAAGACTGTGACATAACACAAAATGAAATGCTTCATTAAGTATCTAATCTATACTTAGCAACAAATACAATATTTTAAGTCACTTTAATTAATATCACTGGCTAAAATGATCAGCATGAAATTAAAAATTAATATTGCAAAATTATTTGAATGAATCAATATAAACACACCCAAATGTAAAAGCAAACCCATGTTATAAATTAAATCTAGAAGCCAAATTCTTCAGTTAAAATGATAACCTTAATTAAAATATCAAATAACAATTTGCAAAGTTCAATAAATCAATATCTAACCATAATCAACCATTTTAAAAAACTCATCAAATCAGAAAAATAAAATACTAATGCAGTGCATAACCAAGATGTTTGCATACATATGGAAGCACATATTCTTAATAACTTCTTTTTCTTTTATTATGCACCAAACGTTGGTTTAAAAATCTGTTTAGTGTTCCAGCTATAATCCAAATCTGGATAAAACATAAAATAATTATTTCCCTTCTCATAAAATACTATCTTTATTGAAATTAGAAGTAGTCTCCGTAATTTTCTTTCAACTAATTGTAGATAGTAGTCTTGAGTGTCCCACATAATTTTATTTGTTCTAGTATCTGTGAAAGTAAGTGTAGAATATATAAGTAAAATAATTAACTTTATAAGGTAACTTGTGATTTGTGAAAAGAACATAGACTATCCCACTGACTAGAGCATCCCACTATATAGAGACATAGAATGGTTTGTATATATAATAATCCTAAAAAGTCACATAAAATATTAAAGTATTAACACAAGAAGTAGATTAGGCTGTTAGTTTGAGCTCTGAGCTTGGCAATTTGGTTGCAAATGTTTCATCACCATTCGGAGAGACATCATCAGTTCAAAACGCACTGATGATGTCTCCTCGAATGGTGACAAAACGTTTGCACATTTCAACAGGAAGGAGAGCTCAGAGTGAAGACACACATGAGTTTATATAGTATGCTTTACTTGTTCTAATTATTGTTTGCTTTTCCAAATACATAAAATATTGACTTAGCGAAAAGAGAAGCAAAAGCTTAGGTGCAGGAATGGTCACAAGTTAATTGATTTCAGTGGATTTGAATAAAAGCAGAAAAACCCTGAGAACAGCAACTAAAGACATCCTCATTAAGCTTCTAAGAAAAATAATGTTAAATTCCTAAAGTTCTATTACTAAATTGTACTTTTACCTTTGGTGAGTTTGTTGGGCTGGCACAAGGTGATCGGGAAACTCCTTTCTGAATTAGGTCCAATCGAGGGGGGACTGGTGGAAGGGTAAGATGGGATCCTTGTATGGGATCAGGAAATGGTTTCCTTCTTTGAGCAAGAGGAGATGATCCTGGAGATGTCACTGGGGAATTCTGTCTTTCATTACACTGCAACAGAAGACGTTATGAAGTATGTCATATTCACCATTCAAAGAAAGCACCAACTTGTAAGTTCTTACTAAACACCTGTCAATTATAACTATATAAGATATTCAGACTGGATTTGGCATTTTTTGGGAAAGACTCACTCTATGGACTCTTTCCCAAGGACCTAGGACAGGCAGATGTGGATGTTTGGTGGTGTTAGAGGTATTATCTAAGGATGCAAACTGTTTTGGGTAAAGCTGCTTTTTCAATTGACTGATGGTGAATTTGTCAATGCCAATAATGTTCAAGTGGTACTCTAGTTTGCTTTGGGATTGCACCCAAGGAACGTATGACTATTTGTTAAGTACTACATTTGCTTTCTTTTTGCCAGACATTCTATTTCTATTTGCCGGTCATTCTATTTTATTATTTACTTTATTAATATTATATCTCACTTTTAAAGAAGTACTTAGCAAAACTCAGCTCTTCTTTCTCTTCACAATTTTATTCATAAATCACACCCTTTGCTCATTTAGCAACTACAATCTGTTCCTTAAATCAGAACAGAAATGGTCATTAAGTAAACAGGTGACTGAAAGAGATATGTTACAAAAATCACTGGTTGCTGCTCTCTCATTCAAATAACCTCTCCCATACAGTGTCCTATGCCAGACCTTTTTTGCTGCAGAGCAACCCTTCCCTAAAAAGTGCTTAACAAGCTCATCTCTGTGACTTTAATTGGTCCATCCATTGCTGCCTGAAACTGACCAGAACTTTATTCAATTTCACATTGAAAACTTTTTGTGTCATGCCAATAAAATTTGGTAGAAAATGCATGTGTTTTGATTTTTTGTTTTTAAATTTATCATTACCATTGCATTTATGAAATCACTTCAATGCTGCTAAATGAGGAGTACCTATAGTTCTGTCAGATTTGGATGAGAGCTTCATAAATAACTAATAAATTTGCTGTTAGGGTTGTTAGATACCCTCATTCTCTCCTAAAATGTTTCGTTGTATGAAGCCAAAGGTTTGATTGGAACTTATAAACAAGTGGAAATCCCGCTCCCTCAACAGAGACAACCCATCAAAAGTCAATGTAATTCAGTCTATTATTAGACAACTAGGTTTATACAATTTGTAGTTTCATACTGCTTGACTACCTCACTCTTTGGAATCTTGTAATATCATTTATGCTGGTGTACGACTATAATAAAGATTTGATTGATTATAAAGGCTTAAATTGAATCCTCAATCCTTTGTTGGACCATTTAAAGCTAGTTATTTCTCTCTGTCAGTAATTTAGTACTGTATCTTTCGTTTTTAGTTTTAGTTCTTGGAGTTTTTTAAATAGAAAACTAAGCCTTAGCAGAATGTTCATTTTTATAGGATGTTTTCTGAAACAAGACTGTTTTTGTTTTCTGCAGTGTCAGCCATTATGTTTTTCAGGAGGTCCTTTTTAAAAAAAAATCCTTAAATTATTATAACAGTAATCCCATCTCAGTTCTTTAATCTAATACCTTGATATTGAACCATACTGTGTAAGATCAATTCTAAAGAGTCCTTTAGATAAGTAAATGTAAAAAGACCATCATCAAAATATAATTTCAACTTCTGTTCTCAGTTTACTAATTTGTTTCCTGAAAATATATTGGTGCATATATGCATGTCTGCACATGTTACATACACAGAGGGACATAAAATTATACCAGTGGACAATTTTATGCAGGCTGGATATCAGCCAGTAGTCAACATGATTGCCACCAAGTCAAGAAATTCAAGCCAACCCAAATTGTGACATTGTTGTTAATGATTTTGTTTATATTTGCTTGCTTCTTTTACCTCTATTTATCAGTTTCCATTTGCAAATTAGGTGAGATAAATTCTAGAAGTCTATCCCCAAATTATCCTATATAGGCTAAGGCAACAGTATTACAGGCATAAACACAGTTTAAAAATACCCACTCAAAAATTTGTTCAAAGTATGATAAGCCTGCTTTCAAACAACTTTTATATCTTAAAAAAATTGTTTAATCATCAGAACATTGAAAATGGGCTGAAATATAGTAAAATGTGAAATATTAGCAGTACATGAATAATGAGTTATGGAAAGATCTTCAGCTATAAATAACATACTGTACATACATGATGTGGTGACAAAATAGGTTGGAAAAAACCAAAAAACTACAATATCATAGATACTAGCAACTGTAGTTCAGCAACATTTGGATTGATACAGTTCAGAGTTCTATTGTAGAAACTAATCTTCAACTGTGATTAGCTACTATAATTAATGGAATATCAGAGTGAATCTGTCTTTGATACCTGGTTTTAGATAGAAAACATAGGAAATACTCATGTACTCATACCTTTCTCATGAAAGTACTTAGATTGCTACAATTAGAAATAAGCTGCTGAGCTAAATGGTTCCTTATAATAATACAAAAGGATTCTTCTTTTTTTCCAACACTCTCCACGAAATGCAGCAGTTTACAGCCAGGGAATATACAATGATGTAATTTAGTCTACTAGTTCATATTTTTACAGATAGTCCTCAATTTGCAACAGTTTATTTAGTCGATGTTCAAAGTAAAACAGCACTGAAAAAATGACTTATGACTGGTTTTCACACTAATAACCATTGCAAATTAGTTAATCTAGGGATGTTAAACTCAAGATCTGGGGCTGAATCTGGCCCACAGGTTGGTTAGATATGGCCCATGGGACCAACTTGGAAACAGCAAAGGACCAGCCCATGGTGCCTCTGCCAGAGAAAATAGAGCTTGGGAGCGTCACAGGAAGCTCTCCTGAGCTCCATTTTCACTGTCAGGCGGTTGCAAGACGCCATTGCACCCGAAAACAGAGATTGAGAACCCATTTTTTATGGCAAAGCCCTCGAGTCACCATAGACACCCCCACACAAGTGACGTCGAGTTGACCATGCCCACCTTGGCCACCCAAGATCAACTCTTATGCGGCTCTCAATGAAATTGAGCTTGACATCCCTGCTTTAATCAATGTGTAAATTATAATTGCAAATTACAAAGTCATTGCATATTTCAAGAAAAAGAGAAGTACCTTTCTTACAGAAGCTAATCGATTCATCATCAAACACTCTTCTCTGTCATCATCATCATCATAGTCAAGCATAGGGATACCAAAGCTGTCCAAAATACTGCAGCATCTTATGTTTTCATCTCTTGGATCAAAGGGATCTACAATTATGGGTTCAGTTCCTTTGATTTCACAACGACAAAAGGGACATCCTTGACCATCTGATTCCTGAATTATGAAAAACAAAAACACCAAAATGCTGATAACTGTTTAGAATTATTTTACTACATTAAAGATTCTTAAGGCAATGAAAAGCATATTAATAGTATTTTTAAAGTCACAGATGCAAATATGGAGATAGAGAGGGGGGGGGACTTCAAATGAAGAGCAGCACCAGCAATTTTCTATTATATATGATGTTGGGGAAAATCAATGGCAATTGGACAGACTATCACACTCTTTTGTTTTTACATAAATAAGATACATTCATCTCAATATATCTCAAAACATATTTAGAAATTGGAAAAAATAATATTATTCCTCATATAAAGGAATTTAACTTATCCATCTTGGAAAACATAATATTCTTTACTTATCAAAGAATGAAGTAATATATATATATTCCTTTGGGAATATTGCATAATATTTTATAATATTGTATTGTTGACACCAGTTGAAAAGATACATGCTGCTATTTGTGAGACTTTGTTTTTATCTGAGTGATTGATTACCATCATGTTGGTGTTGACTCTTAGCAAACATACATTTTATTTGTGAGAAAGTCGTGCAATAAGATAATGGTCAGAAACCTATTAATGCAGGATTCTTTTAAGAAATCTATATTCAATGCACTTATATCAAATATTTCATTAAGAAGTTTAAGACATTTTCCCTTTTAATTTTTACCACAATCCCATGAAACAGATTGTAGCAACTCATCAAAAGTTACCAACATAATTTTATGGCTCTGTGGGTATGCAAATATGGATCTCCTTAGTCCAATCATCACACTGCAGTGGCTTTATAACCAATACTGCTTATATATCACTGAACTCATATTTGATTTTCTGAACAGTGGAGCTGTAACTTACATGGTAAAAAGTTTAGGGTTGAGGAATATAATCTTTTAGATTACTAAGAACTAAACCGATGTCAAATTCTAAAGTCTCAGATCAGAAGAGCCAACTACCATTAGCAATCTTTCTTTGGCATTTATACAATACAATACAATAGCAGAGTTGGAAGGGACCTTGGAGGTCTTCTTGTCCAACCCCCTGCCTAGGCAGGGAACCCTATACCATTTCAGACAAATGACTATCCAACATCTTTTTTAAAACTTCCAGTGTTGGGGCATTCACAACTTCTGGAGGCAAGCTGTTCCCCTGATTAATTGTCCTAACTGTCAGGAAATTTCTCCTCAGTTCTAAGTTGCTTCTCTCCTTGATTAATTTCCACCCATTGCTTCTTGTTCTACCCTCCGGTGCCTTGGAGAATAGTTTGACTCCCTCTTCTTTGTGGCAACCCCTGAGATATTGGAATGCTGCTATCATGTCTCCCCTATTCCTTCTTTTCATTAAACTAGACATACCTAGTTCCTGAATCAATTCTTCATATATTTTAGTCTCTAGTCCCTTAATCAACTTTGTTGCTTTTCTTTGCACTCTTTCTGGAGTCTCCACCTTTTTCATATCGTGGCAACCAAAACTGAATGCAGTATTCCACGTGTGGCCTTATCAAGACATTAAAAAGTGGTACTAACACTTCACGTGCTCTTGATTCTATCCCTCTGTTTATGTAGCCTAGAACTGTGTTGGCTTTTTTGGCAGCAGCTGCACACTGCTGGCTCATATTTAAATGGTTGTCCACTAGGACTCCAAGATCCCTTTCACAGTTACTACTATTGAGCAAGGTACCACCTATACTGTACCATTTCTTATAAATATGTAAATTATATACTTTAAAATTTTTAATACATAAATTAGGCATTTAATTTACCAAAGCCTTTTTAAACCTTATAACGCAAAGCAAAATTTCCAAAATTCTTTTTACTGAGGGACTTAAACATTAATTGGACCTGGTCAGCTGAAAAATTGGTGGCTATCAGTAGCTCTGCTATAACTAATATAAGCTTATACAAATGAGTTATTTTTGTCTGTTCTGTTGAACTAAACTACAAAACTATCTAAAATAAAAATAAAAAAATACACACATGCTCCAACCTATATAATTCAATTTGGGTTTGGGGCAGATACTTGTCAGATTTTTAAATGTTTGCTACAGAAAAAGGTGCCAATTTATTCAGTAACCTCTGCTTTATGCTTTAAGGTAAGATATGGATCTATGCAAAATTATATAACAATAAAAAAGCAAAATATGGCTATAGTAATATATACACAGAAATCAATTAGAAACCTTCATTTACCAAAAAACCCCATCCCATCTTACCTTATTTTAGTTGTATTTTTATTTCAGTACCATTAAAACAAAAAATACCCAACATGCACAGGGACTGATCGACCTTCGGCATAAAATATCATTCAAATGTGATTTTGTATTCACTAAGGAGCTGGGAGTTTTATTAAGTAAAACAGATGCTTTATTATGATAAAAAAGTACCAGAACTCTCTCCTTAGGCATCTCTAACGAGCCATTATGACGGCAATTAAACACTAACCATTGGCAAGTAGAAACTGAACTGCTGCAGTATATTCCCTTCATCAGCTTGTTAATTATACAGAAGTTAAATGTGCAGTGAAATTTATTTAAAACGAAATGACTGTTAATGAAGGAAAACCTAATACTCCATTTACTCGGATGTCACTTGCTAAAGTTACAGCTTGACTATTTATTAAATGTTTTTATTTTATTAAAAACCTACATTCCCACTGATGTTATGACCCAGAAAAATTCTATGATATTGTGCTTCTAATTCTATATCGTTTTCAGAACTGCTCCCAAGAGAACATCCCTATCAATGAATAAATGGGAAGATATTTTTCTAAAAGAGGATTCCTATAATTTATTCAGCCTCTTAATATTAGCTAATTTTTCTGATTAAGTGATTTCAGAAGTTACAAATCAATGTTGCAGATAAAATATTCTTACTGACTGAATATTCATCTTAGGTGGGAGAATTATATTGTTGGTTGATTTTTGTTTCATTTATTTGAGAATATTTTTCTTTCCATGCTCAGTTATGCCCCTTGCTATTACAAGTATCAAACCCTTAACAGTTACTTACAAACAAAAATTCAGAGCATTCTTTAAATAGATTTAACTAGAAAGGAGAATAGAATTAAGTTACTTAAAATTTGGAAATGTTAAGTTCAATACCCAGGTTTGTTAGTACCCCGGATTTTTAAATCTTCTTCCTAACTACCTGCCGATACACTGCATTTTCCTGATAAAGAATATAAAACTGTTCTATGCTTACAGTATTTTGAAAGAAGTTATGCTATTTCCCTACATATGAATAAACTATCATTTCAAGATTTATTTCTACAACTAAAACATTTGTTAATGTATCAATAGAAAAAAGAATAGGAAGAAGAAAAAGGACATGTATGAATTTGATTACAGAAATACAGTTACCTGCCATGCGGTCAGGCAAGATGTACACATCAAATGTCCACAAGGTTCAATCTTCACATCTTTGTCATTTTCAGCACAAATTTTACAAAGCTGGAATGTGGAACCCATTTCACAATATAATTCATATTGTTCCTGAAAAGGAATGACTGCAATGAAGAGCCTCTGAAAATGATAATATAAGAGCTACTTGGCTTACCATTCAGGTTGCAACTTTTACATCATAGCAAATACTAGTAAGACAAATTGTTACTGAAGATATTCATATAATATTTATATATGTTATTGCTTTTTCAAAAAATGTGAATCTATTTATACACAAAATCTATTGCTCATAAACAACCATAACAAACCACCACAGCCTTGTAGCATCTTATCTAAAAGAAGTTATTCTGACTCAAATTTGTTGCACAAGAATCTACTTCTTCAGAGAAATAAAGTATGATTTGGTTTAATTCAAACATTACCAGTAGAGACAGAATTTTTAAGCAGAGAGTCAGAGAAAAAATAGTCTTTTGAATCCCATCCCAAAGCCTACCATCAATTGCATCAGTTAATGGTAAAAGGACAGTAGTTCATTAAAATTTGGCCTAATAGATTTGTTCAGGTTTCAGAAAGTCCAAATACATTTTGTAGTTTATTTAAACCAGTGGTTCCCAACCATTTTTGGCCATGCCCCATCTAAACATCTTTAAAATCTTGATTCCCCCCCCCCCGTTGACATATAATTCTTACTTTACTCAAAAAGTGAACTCTACTCACACAGAGGAAGCCTAAAAGGCCATTAACTTGGTTTAAATAAGGTTCATATTGCCCCCATTAAAATCAAATTGCCCCACATTGGGTACCACTGATCTAAACACATCAAGCCTTTTAGAAAGGAATATTTTTCTGATATTTATTGGATTTGATATTATTTAATAATACCAAATTTTGCTAATACAATTGTTATACTGGTGGTAATACAAAGCCTCGACCAGCAGCAGAAACTGCGCTTAAAGTATATTTTTCTTTTAGAATTTTAAACAAAGATTTGTTGCCGTCTCCTAGCCATTGTTGAAATAAATACATTTAAGGTTAGGGGAAAATACAAAATATGGGTAAAAATCCCCCAAAATTGTAAAAAAGTTAAACAGAACAATCTAAAAACTTCAATGTGATGATGAACAACAGGAAAAAGAAGGGAGTAACACTTAAATAAAATGATAAAAACAATTTTAAAAATCTACCTGTCACTTTGTCATGATCATTTTTTAGAAAATTAAAGTTTGGGTTAATTTTTCCCCGATAAGAATAACAAATTCATTAAACTAACATGCCTATAGTGATACATACTTAAAAGATATCTGAAGTATCTTGGCAAATCTTTTCTTAGTATGGTTAGCCCAGTCAAAACTGGATTTTAAACTCATACTCAGAATTTTCATGGTCCTTGAGATATGTTGAACTGCTGCCCACAACCCCTTCATCACTACAGTCTTTCTGACTGCTATCAGCCTAATATCAGTTATCATCATTAGGGGACACAATACATAAGCTGTTTAAAAAATATCTCTCTATATAAAGTTCTTAATGGATATGAATGAATAACACACTCCAAGTGAATAACATACAATATACCTGTGTAACTTTTATATGATCATGTGGAATAGGTTCACATAGTCCTGTCAGATCAGGATTATAACTTCGTCCATCTGGATAAAGATAGCTGAAATGGAAATAAATATTTGGCTTCATTTATATAGCTATTGAATACTTAAGATGATGAGTGAACAGTTTTGGTTTTTCTATTACAAATAGTCTTCAGTTAACTATGGTAATGGAGATAAGAATTTCCATTGCTAAGTGATATGATTGTAAAACTTGATGTCATGTAGCACAACTTAGTAATGACAGTTGCAGTAATCCAGTTGCCAACATTAAGTAAGAACTACATGGGTTTTTAAGCAAGGATTTCACATGGCCATGACTTAGTGCCAGCCTGCCCATTGACTTTGCTTGTGGAAAGCCAGTAGGAAGTCACAAATTGCAATTATGACTGCAGATTATTGCAATTGTTGGAAATCTGGGCTGGTTGCTAAGTGCCTGGCTCATGATCATGGAACTGGGAAGTTGTATTTGGCAGAATTTTGATGGCCAGTTGCAACATTGTTGGGCTATTTGTTCAACAATGTCACAAATTTGAACCATCGCTGATTGAATGATATTGAAAGACCTTCTATATAAGTATCCTCCGCTAAAAATTCCCATCCAGAAATACCTCAATGTTTTTCATTGAATGATCTATATTCTTACTGTCTTCCACATAAAAGACTCTGCTAACTGCACCCAACTTTCCACTGCTGATTTCACTTCACAGTTGAAGTGATCATCATTCTAGTCCTGTTTGCCCTAATTGGGGATACAAGAAAAATTCTCAGTTGAACGTTTTAAGATAAACTAGATTTTGCAATTATGATAATCAAATCAGATCAAGAATACTTTAAATTAGGGGTATCAAACCCAATTGCATTGAAGGCCGTGTCATGACGTATCAGGATTATTTTTGCGCTTGCGGAACCAAGATGTGCATGGCCTGCATGGGCCATATGTGGTCCGCGGGTCACGTGTTTGACACCCCTGCTTTAATTTGTGCCTGTTGTATTAGCAACCCATACCTTCCATATATATAAATAATTTATACTCACAATCCTTCCCGACTGCCATCAATTAGAGCTTGAAATAAAGGCTTATTATGTGGTATGGTCTGTAAAATATTTCCATCACCAGTAACATAACCAATAGCCCATTGTCCAAGTCGAGTGCAACTTAATCTGAAAATGTAGCTGTAAAACAAAGGACAATGCTATAGTGAATGAAAGAATTGATAAAGGCAGGATAAAATAAATTAAAAATTAAAAAAGAGAAATTAGAATATTTGTGTAATCTAAATTTACCAATATTTTTCACTTTAAAAAGTAGATAAACGTAATTGTTTGACTAACAGTGTATTATAAAGATTAAAAACAGTTTCTTTACTGTCAAATAGTTCTACATACTATGTGGTTGCTCCCTCAATTCCTATCTATAATGGTCATTATTGTAACTGCTTTTTTTTTTAATATATGGCTCACCATGTCACTAGTTTTCCTATCACCACTCTTTGGAAATGACAACAACACAAATAATTTTCTTTTTATAGAAAATCTAGTTGTTCTCAACACACCCCTAGCTAAATATGTTCAAGTTGTCCTGTTTCAACGTATTGTTCATGAGGATAATTATTATGATTTTGAATTACTTCCTCCCAATCCCCCTGAACCAAATCATCTCTTACTGCGAAGTTTCTGGTTATAGTCCAATGTCATTAAATTATGAAATTTCCCAGCCATCCAGAAACATGACTAACTAGTGGCAATCTTCCATAATCTACTGAAGTAAATTGGCAAAAATATTGAGTTCATTACCTTCCTGGTTTGGTGCTATATTTCTGTAACCGTGCTTTAACTTCATCATATGTCAGAAATGCCATATATCCAGGATGCGTCACAGCTAAGAAGTTCCAGTTTCTTAATATTGAACCCCAAGGCTAAGTGAAATATATAAAATATGTATTTATATATATATACTTAATATGTTGCATTTTTATCTGAATTTCCTCCAACAATAAATAAAACATTTTCTGTAATACTTGCTACTTACCCATCAAAGATAACAGCCATTTAAAGTTACTTACAGTGAAAAATAAGGCAATGTAAAGTTCAGATTAAAAAATAGCTTAAAAGTGAACAAAGAATTAAGAATCTGAATAGTATAAGTTAATGGAAATAATTCAAGGCTGAAACAATCCCATTTCAGATCCAAAACTAATGAAATATATAAGCTTTTATTAAAATGATGAAAGCAGTACCACACTGCAAACCCTTTGGACTATTTTGTGAAAAGGAGCAGGGCTTCTGTAATCTGCTGCTTTCATAAGTCTGCCATTCGCCTCTTAACATTTGTATCATGCCTAGATTAAACCAATTTCATGTTCTGAATAAAAATTTAGAGTAATTAAAAATAAGAAATGAAAGCAGCACATGAAGAGAAGGGAAATGGGATTTAATTGGTAACTTAACTCATGGTTTACTAAACCAAGATAATTATGCCAGATCAGTTCATGTTTTCATGTGAATTCATTATTCCAAACAGTAATTTAAAAAAAAAATTGCATGTGTACCTTTTAAAGTTTTATGTTACCCACAGAACTAGTAATATAATGTTAATTGTATTACCTCTGCTATGAAAAACATAAAAATATATCAAATTTACTAAAAAGAAATGGTATCCTGAATTAAAACATCTCCTAGCAGGAAAAATGGACAGAAAAAAAAATTATAAAATCCCATTTGTCTAAAATTGCAAAATCCAGATATGTTCCAATAATAGAGAAAAGCATGTTCAGTATTATTTCAGTTTAGCTAAATTACCTGAAATAATCTTGTGAAGATATCAAATTCAAAAACTGAAATATAGTCATTGCATGTTAGATCAATAGTAGACTTCAAAGCCATTGCTTCCAGACCAGAACTAATCTGATGCACCTCATGAAGACATTGTCGGAATACTTTCCAAGGCACTATGGTCCTATAATAAGGAAATAATATATATGTGTGTTAGATAAGACACCATTTTTAATTAGAAATAACTGTCTTTAATAACCACTTGTTCAATGACCATTCAAAGTTAAAACAACACTGAATGAGGAGGTGTTAAGGAAGATTCCCATAATCATCACCATCGCAGTGTCCCCAAGATCATGTTGATTATGATTTGGGTGTTTTGCAATTGGCTCACAATTATGACATGGCAGGATCCTGCAGTTGTATGATTGCCATTTGCAACTTTCACTGCTGCCTTCTGACAGAAATTTTCTCATTAGTTCTAGGCTGGTTCTTTCTTTGATTATTTTCCATCCATTTCTTCTTGTACTGCCTTCAGGTGCTTGGGAGAATATATTGATCCATTCTTCTTTGTGGCAGCCCCTTAGATATTGGAACACTACTATCATGTCACCCCAGTCCTTCATTCCATTAAACTATACATCTATACATATCCCCTAATCATCTTTATTGCTCTTCTCTGCACTCTTTCTACAGTCTCAACATCTTTTTTATAATGGCAAAACTGGATGCAATATTTTAAGTGTGGTATTACCAAGACATTACAAAACAATACTAATTTTAGAAAAAGTATTAACATTTCATGTGATTTTTACTCTATCCACTGTTAATGAAGCCTAGGACCGTGGTGATTTTTTGGCAGCTGCAGCATACTGCTGGCTCATATTTAAGTGATTGTCCAGAAGGATTCCAACATCCTTCTCACAGTTACTACTATTGAGCCAGGTATCACCTACTCCATACCTGCACATTTGGTTTTTCTTCCTTAAATATAGAATTTTACTTTGCTCACCATTGAATGCCATTTTGTTAGATAGGGCCCAATGTTCAAGTCTGCCAAGATTTTTCTCTACGTTTAGCCTATTTTCTAAAGTGTTGGCTATTTCTGCCAGCTTAGTGTCATCTGCAAATTTGATGAGTTCCTCTTCTATCCCCTCATTTAAATCATTTATTTAACTATTGAAGAGTACTGGGCCTAACACAGAGCATTGAGGAGCCCCACTGCATACTTCCCTTCATTAAGGATTACACACTGAGTGCAGTTGATCAGCCAGTCCATCTGGTGATAATGTTGTTTAACCCACATTTTTATATCTTATCAAGTAATAAGTTATGGTCTATTGTATCAAATCCTTTACAGAAGCACAAATAAATTATATCCACAGCATTTTGCCAGTCCACTAATTTTGTCACGTTGTCAAAGAATGCAATAAGATTTTGCTTATTTATTTGCCTATCTAACAACAACATTTCTATTTTACCTGAATTTTACCTTATTCACTCTTCTCAAGCGCATTAATGAAAGTATTCAAGAATCAAGAAATCAACTTGGAACTGAGATAGCAAGGAACAGTATATTTGGAGAGTACTAGGAAGTGGGCAGTTCCTTGTCAAAAAAAAAAAAGGAATACCTCTATAGCACAATAGAGAAGATGGAAACTTGTAGGATATCATGGATAAATAGCTAGGGTGTCGAAGAGTTGTATATAGCATTACTTTCTGGAAACAACTGTAGAAGGGAATAGAATTATTGCAAAACTGTGCTCTCAGGGCCCAACCCTAGATTTATTTAGGAGACTAGCACAGCCAATGTTTTTAAAAGCCATTAGGAAGTTCAAGCAAGTTAGCAAAAATGTATATTTCATATCCAATTCCTGGCAGAAGTTATCAACAGACCAAAGCAATTTTATTCCAATTTCCTGATTGGAATGCCTGTTAAAAGTAGTTCTATATTTTTCTTCCAAATGTGCCTAGATTTACAAAGCCATTGCCTTTTCACATATCTTAGGCAAATGTATAAATTTAAGACCAGGTCTTCCTTATCAAAGAATGTTGTTACTCTTTTCTCTAAAAGGCCTTTTAGCCTACTTATTTAAACTGGAAGACAAGTAGTCTGCCTCAAAAAAGATATTAAATATCTCCCTGAATGGGGCCAAATCCAACATGATAAGATATCAGCCAAGTTAAGCAAAAACCAAGTAAACAAATGCAGCCTGCCTACATCTTCAATATCCACAACCAAAAGAATATTCAAAATGAGAAGATTTGTACAATAAGAGCTTGCTGTATGTACTACAACATTTAATATTTGTGTTAGCATGACATTTAACTATAAATTATTTCTTTTAATTACAGATAGTCTTTGATTTACAAATGGTCATTTAACAACTGTTCAGTTACCACAGCCTTAGAAAGGATGCTTCACAGCCCATAAACTCTTTCAGACAACGTACAATGTTATGCTGCCCTTCTCTGTGGTCACATGATCGCATTTTGAGTGCTTGCCAATTCGGTCACATTTACAATTGGTTGCAGATCCTGTGGTCATGAGACTGTGATCTGCAATGGTTTTCTGCTGATTTCCTGTTTTTTGCCAGTTTCTGGCAAAAAACACCCATTTAGAAGCATGGATTTACACTGATTTGCTTTGTGTGATTTGCTTAATGATTGTGTGATTTAGACTTACCACTGTGCAACTTGCTTAATGACCACCATAACAAGAGATGTAAAATTCAGGTCTGGTCAGGTAGTTGTTTTACAACTGTCACAACTTACAACCAAATTCTAGTCCCAAATGTGATTGTAAGTTGAGGACTAACTCATTATCATTCAGAAAGCCCTAAAGAGGCATGTTTGCTTCATTATCTCATTAAAGCATGGTTGTAATTTTGTATTAACTGCTCCTTTTACTTTTTTGACTATATTCTTGTTACTATTGATTGTTTTTTATTTTATGTTGCTTTGAGCCAGTCTTTTGTTGCTTCTACCTATTATTTTTGTTAATCATGTTTTTATTTCAGTATTAATCATTAATACTGCCTTCTGCCTTTCTTTCTGAAAATCTTCCTAATACGTGTTTGCTTCTAAATATTTATTTATTCATTTATTTTAGATTTTTTTTACCCCGCCTTTATTATTTTTATAGATAGCTCAAAATGGTAAACACACCTAATATGCCTTCCTTTCCCTATTTTCCCACAACCACGTATGAGGTGAGTTGGGTTGAGAGAAAGTGACTGGCCTCAAATAACCTATATCATTTATAAATGTAAAATTAGTATAACACTGATGCCACATTACAGTGGTTAATCAAGATTCTATTGCTAATGGCAATAGCTTCTTTTGAATTTTTCACTTAATTCATACACATTGTGATTTTTACTACCTATTACAAAGTTATTATATCTTCAACATTTGCAACATAGCCAGGTAAATCTTTGGAAAATTATACACGATATGTAAAGATTTGTGATGTATACAACAAATCAATTCAATTATGTGTTCTTCATAAAATCTTCTATATTTAGTAATAATTTAAAAGTTTATTTCCTATTGTCTATCACAAGTTTCTATGAAGAACTTATCACAAGTTTATATAAAGAACGTATCACAAGTTTCTATAAAGAACTATCATTTGATAAAATATACTAATAAGATAAAACAGTTGAAATAAGCTTGAATACTAGAGGCCATTTTCAAGTACAATGAAATATAGACTGTTGATTGGATTAGAACCATTTAATACTTTGTATGTTTTTAGTCTGATTACCATAATGTCTTGAGAATTTGGTTTGGAGTATATCTGTGCCCAAGTTAAAAACGAAAAAAGAAGCAAGCATTTTCAAACTAACTTTTTATAAAACTATAGATTCAAATATATAATTTAAGGCAATTAGACTTGTTGATTAAAGGAGCTTTCATGAGCAGTAGGTTTCAGGTGCTTCTTTAGACAAGCAATAACCCTGTGGTTCTAAAACAATTCCATAGACTTTTACAGTCTGCTTCATATTAGCAATTTTTGAGAAGTATGCTTGCATCAATCATTCTATTACCAAAAAGGTCCATTTAAATTTGGGGGGAGAAAATATCAATTTTTTTAGGAATCTCTATTAAATGTGAAAGTATACCACTGAATTCTTTTTGTATTTTCTTTGTTTATTGCTTGCATTTATTTATTCAATTTGTAGCTCACTGCAAATAATTTGTTGTTTGTGATAATATTATACAATTTACATGGATAAATGTAAATGAAATAAAAAGTAATAAAAAGACACTCAAGTGAAATAATCACTAGCAACTCTACCTTTGATACTTACTTTTCTCCAAAGAACTTCTTCCAGAATTCTGCAGCATCTGCTTTTGTGATACGAAAGTTGTCACCCTGGAATTGAGCGTTAGGGAAGATTGCTTTTATTTCTGCAAGCATATGACTGAAGATGAGGGACAATTTTGTAAGATTTCGCCTGCCAATACAAAAAAGAAAAACAAGAAAAAAATAAAATCTGAACAAAAATATTTCATTGAACATATAAAAAGAAGAGCTACATCATACAATAGGAATTCCCCTTCCTAAGATTAGGAACTAGCAGTGACTCATAATTGGGGAAAATACACCTCAATATAAACAAGAAATGTACAGGCAGCAGAGTAACCTGAGAATAAAACAGCTTAAATCATTGCTGATAAGCAAAGAGCCACCACAGAGAAAGCCCTTCTCCTTGGTCCTGCCACATGAACCACCTTAGGTGAGGGAATTCATAGCATTTTGTGCCTTCCTGTTCTAAGGGGTTAGGTAGATGTGACTAGGAAAAGATAGCCCTTCAAGTAACCCAATCCCAAGCCATGTAGGGCTTTAAAGGTCACCTGGAAGCAAACTGGCAGTCAATGCAGCTCCCCCTGGAGAAATGACATAGGTAAGCATCAAGGCTTGCAAAAAACTATGCAGGATTCTGTGTTTAAAACTAATTTAAGCTTCTAGATAGTTTTCAAGGGTAGCCCCATGGAAAGCACACTGCAAGAAAGGAAATGACTAGAGTGTGAGTGGTTCAAGGGAATCAAGACAGGAAGGGACTAGGGTATGAGTGACTGTGAGAGGAATTGTTGCTCCGGGAAAGGGCATAACTGGCACATAAACCACAGTGCATGAAGTCCCTCCTGGGGAGTGACTGTGAACAGGAGTCCTGAAACCAAGAGAACTCTCTGAGAATGTATTGGATCTGTCTGGGCATTAACACCTCATCCAAAACAAGAGATGGCAATTCTCCATGGACCAACAAAGTTCAAACCCAGAGCCAGGTTCAGTTTCAGCCCATTGTTCCCCATCTATTCCATAACAGCCTCCAAGTACTGTGAAAGGGAGGTCACAACATCAATTAACTCACCATGGACTGAAACACATAGCTGTCACCAGCATATTGATGTTAACTCAGCCCACAGTGGTGGATAACCTGACCAGTTTCATATAGCTGTTAAACAAAAGCAGGAAAAGTAGCAAGCTCTGTGGCATTCTGTAAAGTAGGAGACAAGGACTGGATCACTTGCTTTCTATCAACACTGCCTGAAAGCAACCAGAGAAAGGAAGTGAACCAGGACAACATAGAGACCCTATTCCCAACCCTTGAAGCCATTCCAGAAGGACACTTTGGTTGATAGTACTTAAAGGCGCAGAATGGTCAAGCAGAGCAAAGATGGATGCACTACCTCCATCCTGCTCTCACCAGAGATCATCAAAAAGCACAAGCAATGCACATTTCCATCCCATACTAAGCCTGAACGATGACTGGAAAGGGTCTAGATAATCCATTTCATCCAGGAAACTCTGGAGTTGCCACACAACCATCTCAACAACCAATTCAATCCTGAATTACAAATATTCTCTCAAATGAAGGTGAATATTCATGGATAATGTTGCAGGATCCAATCTGGGTTGATCATCAGGACCAGAGGTTTCATCTTTCAAATTTTTTGACTGATGTTGGTGCCCATTTTCAGGGAACTTCTCTCTACAAATATTCTCTTTAATTGGTACTTCAGTTGTTTAGGCTGATATTCAGGCAGAAGAGCATAGCAGCAACTGATTATTTGTTCAGTATCAACTGTAGATCACTGTTTTTGTATGCTTAAATAAGAGTTATCAGCAAAGTTATCAGCAAAGAGGGTTTCTTAAATGACTGTAGGGAGGCACTTTGTCCATGTGTTTAATCATCAAAGGTCAAAGAATGTTGCCCAATTGGTACCTCCTTCAGACTATCGGTAGCATATGACGATATACAAATGAAAAACTGATTGAATAGAACTGGGACTAGCATTCAAACTTGTTTTATCCCATTGGAAATGGCAAATGCAGCTGATGTACTCTGTGGAGACAGATGATGTCACTTGGTGAGTGAGTTCTTTTTGAAGGCCTTTCTGATCCTGAGCCTCACTGACATTTTTACAGGCTTTAGCTGTTATACACTACAATTGTGCAAATTAGTGCTGCCTGTTGACCTGATCTTTCAACATCTTCTTAGCCAGCTAAATGACCTTCAGCTCCAGTTGATTGAAAGGCATTATTAATTCTTGATGGAACCACGATCCCGCACTCATCTGCTTTTGAGGCAGGCTTCCATCAGATCTATCCCAGATTTGCTAAGATTAACAACCACTGCAATTATCTAGCTTGGCAACACTATGCTTAGGAAGGATCCATTGATCCTGGGATGGAAGAAGGTACAACCACTGGAGCAGGAAGCAGCTGCCACTCAAGTAAACTGGAATAGAAGTAGACTTTGATACTAAACCCAGAGCCTCAATTATCATCACAAGCATTAGCCTCATTTAAACTTCCTAAGCCTGATGGGACTCAGGTCAGAATTTATTTTTATTATCAGTTTCCACTACAGTAGAGTTGACCTTTACTCCCAAATAGCTGCTTCTTCAAGAAGAACTTTGTTGCAAGGTTGGCTTGTTTAGTGGAGCCATGAATCACTAACTCCAATATATTGCACTTCAAAGGCCTCCGAGATGACTATGAATTATAAAAAATTCATGATGTGTTATGTGAATTCTGCTGTTCTACTTAATTTATTAATGCCTTATTTTAAGCGATGGACTTCTATTGAGACTTCTGATTGGAAATTAGGTGTGCATATTATTGATATTTAAAGACAGCTGTAGCTGATTCCCAATACTACTGGTTCATGAGCTTGCTTCATCATTCCATATGTCTTATTTTGTTGGATTTATGAGTATTTTTCTCCCTCTTTTCCATTAATTTTATTATAGAAATCAGGAGTGTACTGTGCTCTTCTTTAACCCTCTGAGAAAAGCTCAGCATAGGAACACAATCTCAGGTGACATTACTTGGTCTCCTCTCTGGGAAAGGATTATCACAATAGGCTGTAGCTGGTATCTAGGCCAACAGTATGATAGAGCATGTTTCTCAACTGTTTCTTCACCCTCCAGAGGTCCGCAGATCATAGGTTGAGAACTAAGGTAAAGGTTCCCCTCGCACATATGTGCTAGTCATTCCCGACTCTAGGGGATGGTGCTCATCTCTGTTTCAAAGCCAAAGAGCCAGCGTTGTCCAAAGATGTCTCCATGGTCATGTTGCCAGCATGACTAAACACTGAAGGTGCATGGAACACTGTTACCTTCCCACCAAAGGTGGTTCCTGTTTTTCTACTTGTATTTGTATGTGTTTTCAAACTGATAGGTTGGCAGAAGCTGGGACAAGTAATGGAAGCTCACTACGTTACGCAGTGCTAGGGATTCGAAGTGCCGATCTTTCTGATAAACAAGCTCAGTGTCTTAGTCACTGAGCTACTGCGTCCCTTCAGGTTGCTGTGATAGAAATGTTTGATGTTGATGCTGCAGCTTGATTGTTTCATTTTGCTGCAGTAACTTTGTGGGTACTTTCCATTCCATTTAGTTTGACCTGTTTTTGGCATACAAAACTGCTCAGTCACATGTGGCTCACAGTACTATTCTTCCCTTTCATTTTTTCTATTCTCTCTCCAAGACTTGTTCCAAATGGTGTACACCACCCCTACCCCACACAGATACACCCATTTACTCTTTCTTCTTCCTGGAAGAAGATTGAAGAGGGCTTTTTTTAAGAGACAGAAAGAGGTCTTATGTTTATCTTCATCTAGATGAGGTAAACATAACCTTTTCCTGTTGGCTTAATCTCTGCTGACTGAACAGCCAAAAACACATCACAAAAAATAAAATCTAATCCATCTTCTTCCTAGAGAATGGAATCATTTTCAGTTAATGAAGAAAATTTTCATTGTCTGAACACTGATAGTAGAACATCTGTTCGGGTTGGGTTTTTAGTTTTTTATTTGACAAATATTTTTTCCAGAAGACTTTTGTTGACCAGCTATACTTCTGGGCTTTCATTTTCATTTCTGATTCTAACTTTTTTTAAAATATTGTATTTGTGAAATTTTAAGCATTAAAAGCTAAATGGAACAGTGTTTTAGCAGCAGATGGACAGGATATTAAAAAAGGAGTTTAAATAAACTATCCAATACTGCCACTTCAGGAAATCAATAAAAAAGCCAATTCATATCACTTGAGCAAATTTATATTATTGTGTTTTAGAAATGTGATGCTTTAAAACTCTAATCATTGTGAATTGATACATAATGCTGAAATAGATTTTGTTTATTTCCCCTACTCTCCAAATATGTTCTGCTTTCCTTAAGAGGCCTTAAAGAAAAGGAGGCATTAATATCACATAAAAATGAGTGCAGCTATATTTCACATTTATTCTGTTTTAATTAGCAATACACCTTATATGATTAACATATTCACCCAGTTTTAAAGTTGTATATCTTCAATATGCTATAAATAGCTTTTAACAGATAGTTTTATGTTTTATTTTTATGTTTTTAATTTGCTTTCTGTTACTGTGAAACTATTTACTGTGTTTTATTATTTGCATTAATGCTTTTAACTATTTTGTAGTTTGTGGAAAAATAAGATAAACATTTAAGAAATAATGTAATACAATTATCATATCTATATTTACATTTGAAGCAAACCTTCAGATGAGATTTTTCTCTCTTGAGAAAGTACATTAATGAGTAATTTAGAAGCCCTTCCAGAATGGACTCATCAACTGTGACTGTGATGTATTATTTAGCATTTATAAATCCCTGATTTATTTATTCCCTATTCTGTTTCTCCTGATCTTTCTGTTTTTATCTATTGGTACATTTCAATTTCTTTCTGCAGCTTATGAAATCTCAATTACTGGAAAAATGAAATAGTTTCCCTTAAAGATGTTTCACTTGTACATTAGTTCATCTTTTAGAATCTTTATCATGTGGCAATTTTCAAATTTCTGTTTTGAAGTCAAGGTTGGAAGGGGAAAACAGGAAGCTTTCATGTTTGAAAGCATACATCTTATAAATAATAACTCCGAAACTTGTGATTGTATGGTCACGTATCTTACAATTTGGGAGAGTATAAT